CCTAAACCCTAAACCCTAAACCCTAAACCCTAAACCCTACAGAAATCACGACGGCCAGTGGGCTGGCTGAGCCGCCGCAGAAGGGCGCCAGGTCCGAAGCCTTCATGAAGTAAGAACTTACTTCTAGTACACTCCGCAAGCCCACCCCTAAACACATACTCGCCCATATTTATAAGGGGCGCTAGAATGCACTCGCAAAAAAAAAAAACTGTAGAAAAGCTCCTACTCCACATGACTTTGCCTTGAGTAGGGTTTAGGGGCTTCAAGGTCTAGGGTCCCAGGTCCGTATAAGACGTCGATCGATGATTCTACAACAAAGGCCCCTAAACCCCAAACCCCAAACCGTTCCAGAAATCTGGGCACCCTAAACCCTAAACCCTAAACCAGAAACCCTAAACCCTATGGTTTTCAAGTGTTGTTCGGGACAGTGCATTGGAAGAGGAGATCCCTCGATTCGAATCCCAGACTCCGGCCACCTGAAGTTCGCACCGGGAGTCATTGAGGGATCGGGGTTAGGGTTTAGGGTTTAGGGTTTAGGGTTTAGGGTTTAGGGTTTAGGGTTTAGGGTTTAGGGTTTAGGGTTTAGGGTTTAGGGTTTAGGGTTTAGGGTTTAGGGTTCAACGGCGCTACATGAACAGGGCCGGGTCCTTCCCCTCGAGAATCAGCTCGGCGCCGTAGATCTCGAACTGGTCAGAGAGCACCAGCTTCCTTGCAAGGATCACAGGATGCTGTCAAGCCAGTTGCCCCTAGCGTTTAGGGTTTAGGGTTTAGGGTTTAGGGTTTAGGGTTTAGGGTTTAGGGTTTAGGGTTTAGGGTTTAGGGTTTAGGGTTTAGGGTGCCCAAACCCCCAATTAAGTTGACACCCAGCGAACTTGCCACTCGTAGTACTTGAGCATTCCATCTCGGGTCCCCCAGTAACCCAAAGGGTCCCAAGTACCTATATAGCAGAATGTAGGGTTTCCATATTAGGAATTACTGTTCTGATTTGGGGAAGTATCCCCCAGAAGAGTGCCTCGGACCCTTTGGGTAAATTAGGAATACACAGGGTACTCCTACTACTTCTGAGGGTGCCACACCACACGCACTTACTTCTGAGGGCGGAGCAGCAAGACACAAACCCCAGCCCCAGCTGGATTGCTGGGGCGTGCCTTTTGCTTCATATGGTGCCCTAAACCCCATGTCGCGGGAATCCCTCGTCCCGTGAGGGGCTATGGTTTATATATATATATATACCACCTTACTTACCAGAAAACCTCAGGGTAGTTACATGCTTCCCTAGCATGGGCCCTTGACAGGGTACCCCTTATAAGCCCCTTCTATACCCCTTCTATACGCTACACAAATTAAGGGCCCATGCATCAGAACTCTTTAATGGAGGTTAGGGACGACATTAAGGGCCCATGAAGCTACCCTCAGCAAAAAGGCCCTACTGGGTTGTTAGAAGCCCGGTTTCGCCCCCTCAACAAGGCCCGAAAGACTCTGACTCTAACATGTCTGCTACGCCTACGCCAAAATTCAATGAAAACCGTGAAGCCTAAGCCCCTCAAGTCCCCTGTTAGGGTTTAGGGTTTAGGGCTTAGGGTTTAGGGTTTAGGGCTTAGGGCTTAGGGTTTAGGGTTTAAGGTTTAGGGTTTCGGGTTTAGGGCCAGAACGCTAAACCCCCTTCACCCCTACCAGCAGAGGCTCTTCGCATGCATATTGCAACTCAGAGCTGATGGTCGAAATGCCCCGTGGGGCCAGTACCTGGTGAAGGGTGGGTGGTCCGGGTTTAGGGTTTAGGGTTTAGGGTTTAGGGCTTAGGGCTTAGGGTTTAGGGTTTGAAGCCCCAAACCCTAAACCCTGATTAAACCGTAAAACCCGTATGGTTTGGAGGGTGTATGGGGCTTATGGGGTTTATAGGTCTGCAAGGTTTGGAATGTGGAAGGCCTGTAGAGTCTGAAGACGTTCGAAGGGATGTGGCTGTTTTGTTGAAAATCCCTAAACCCTAAACCCCAAACCCTAAACCCTAAACCCCAAAACCCTAAACCCAAGAGCTATCAAAGTTTAGGCCTTCTGGGCTGAGAGATCACATGACTTTCGAGGTGTTCTTTGGGTTTAGGGTTTAGGGTTTAGGGGGTTTAGGGTTTAGGGTTTAGGGTTTAGGGTTTAGGGTTTAGGGTTTAGGGTTTAGGGTTTAGGGTTTAGTTTTTAACTGATTGGCAGCAGTTCTTAAGTACGGTGTTGCAGTCTTTCGCTGTTGCTGCTTCAGGCTTTCGAGCTCTCAGGGTTTAGGGTTTAGGGTTTAGGGTTTAGGGTTTAGGGTTTAGGGTTTAGGGTTTAGGAATTAGGTACTGTCACGCGGGTTGGGGCGTTCACGATGTCATTTGGCAGGTTATGCGCATGCGAAGCGAAGCCCCTGACCTTTTTGGCCTGTAGGAGCTACTTTAGGTTTAGGGTTTAGGGTTTAGGGTTTAGGGTTTAGGGTTTAGGGTTTAGGGTTTAGGGTTTAGGGTTTAGGGTTTAGGGTTTAGGGTTTAGGATTTAGGGTTTAGGGTTTAGGGTTTAGGGAGCTACTTTAGGTTTAGGGTTTGTGGGTTGGGATGTTCCCCCTTATACCTACCAGTCCTTAGTAGGGAAACAATCGGGGGGCACTATCATCCCTATTGTTAGGGCTTCGTTTAGGGTTTTTATTGCATTGAACCTCGCCAACCTCCTCACGCAATTCTAATCCCTTCCCCCTAATACTAAACCCCCCCCCCTCCCCCCTAATTTTAAATACTATTTTTCCCGGACCCTGCCGGCACCCAGCCCAATACGAAACCAATTTGAGAATTAGGGGGGGCGGCGGGGGGGGAGGGGAGGGGTTCAGGGCCTTCGCCCTTGAGTTGAGCCATTAGGGTTTCAGGGTTTAGGGCTGAAGGCTGACAGGATTAGGATTCAGGGCTCAGGGCTTAGAGGGTTTAAGGCTTTGGGGTTTTATTCGGCTTCGGAATTCAGGTTTTAGGGTTTAGGCCCCGCCCTAATTGTAAATACTTTTCGGGCCCAGGCGAATTTCAGATTTGGGGGGTGGGGAGGGGGAGGGGCGGATTTTGAATAGGGGGAAGGGATTAGTCCGAACCTAACAGACCCGACCTTGGATGTACACCTGACACCCAGAAATTGTTAGGGTTAGGGTTTAGGGTTTAGGGTTTAGGGTTTAAGGTTTAGGGTTCAGGGTTTAGGGTTTAGGGTTCAGGGTTTAGTGTTTAGGGTTTAGAGCTTAGGGTTTAGGGTTTAGGGTTCTCCAAAGGTCGATGGACATCTCCACTGGCTTCACGGTCGACTTGTCGAAGAGGTCGGCGGGTGCGAGGCGCGAAGCCTCAGAACACTCCATGGCCAATGGTGCATGTGCACCTATTGCTGTTCAGAGGATTAGGGTTTAGGGTTTAGGGTATAGGGTATAGGGTTTAGGATTTAGGATTTAGGGTTTAGGGACTACTTTTGGATGTTCCCCCCTGATACTAACAGTCCTTCATTTGGATTCTAGTACCCTCTCCTATAATCCCGATTCAGGACTGTCAGGAAAAGGTGCATGGCCCCTATTGCCGTTCAGAGGACTACTCTGGAATTTTGGTACTAGCAGTCCTTAATTTGGATTGAATCACCCAATCCAATTACAATCCCTATTAAGAACTGTTAGTGTCAGGATGAACATCCCAACCTATTGCTGTCAAGAAGACGGATATTTAAACCCTAAACCCTCCTAAGCCCCAAACCCTAAACCTAAACCTGGTACTATTTGATACCAGGGGGGCAAGGGATAGCCGGTATGAAGGAGTTTGGGGTTCAACAGCGTGTGCACATGGCTACTGATTAGGACCAATGAAAGAAAGTTGAAAGACTCAAAACTCTGATGCCTGAGCTAAGGGAACAAGGCAACAAGAGGGAGAACCACAAAGGGTTGGGGATCAACACAGCCCTCGACCCTACGTACAACCCGCTTTCAGAGCGGCCCTTTTTCATCTTGAGCCAAAGGTCAGAAGGTAAGCCATCCTGATCTGCATAACATGACTATACATACATCACTTTACAGGAAGGAAGCTCGTGATTCTTCAACTCCCCCCTTCATGTTTGCAGATTCTCAAGTCCTAGAGCTCATTTGAAGCTCGATTCTGGACTTCAGGAAGCAACAGCTACGAGCTCAACTCTGCAGCCAAACCTACTGTCGATTGAAGTACAGGCTTAGCCATGTACAAATTGAATCCGGTATCTCAGGTGATCAGGCTGAAACGTAGACTCAATAAACCTTTAAGGTAATTCTACCTGCGATCTATACAAAACTACTCTCAACCGGTGCAGGACTGTGCTCAGGCGGAGTCAGAGCGGCGCTTGGGAGCAGCCGTACACTGACACAACGCAGTGCAAGGCTGAGGGCAGGCAAGGAGTGCAGAACGAGATCCTCAAGAACTCATTCAGATGACACAGGGATGATGGCTCATATCCAAGTGTCTGCAAAAGCACGATGATGGATACTGTACAAGACTACTCCCAATCAGAAGCACAGCTGTGCTCATGCAGAGTCAGAGTGGCGCTAGGCAGCAGCCCAACACCGACATCACACAGTGCGAGATTGAGGATAGGCAGTGGTTTAGGAACGAGTTCTTCAAGAGCTCATTCGGATGACACAAGGATGAAGAGAGCGGCCGCTGGGCATCCGAGTGTCTGCAAGTTGCACAGTGATGGAAGTATCGCTCAGCTGAACAACCATCGCAACATTATCACCAGAGGCAATTGTAACAAAGCTTTAGGTGACGGCGAACACACTTAGCTGGGAACATCTGGCAGATGTTTAGTAGAAATGCGCAGCAACTTTAGTGCGTGAGCCCATTTCCGGATTGAAAGGGCCTTCGTCAAAGGATTACCTTTCTCAGCTTAGCTGAATATCCTTTCGGATAATGGCGATACAAGCTTCATTATTTGCATGACACAAAAGCTTGATGCCAAGAATCACGGTTTGCCAAACTTCAAGTAAAGGCAACGCGTCATTGAACAGGGCACTGCTCGAACACAACATACTCTCTTCCGGGAGCGTTGGAGTCGCTGAGTGACTTGAACACATGAATGTGATCAGCTGCGAAGACTTCTCCAAATTCCGAGGCTTCAAGCAACGCGGGCTCAGAGTCCTCATCACGAGGCTTGCGACACACTCTTCTGGACAAGAGCTTGGATTGATTGCACACATCACAGAACGGGTTCTTTGGGAAGTGGAAGAAGCGATGCTTCACACTTACAGCTTCATCTCTGAGTTTGCGAACTCGATCACTGACATGTGCATCATCCACAACGGGGAATCCAGGTGAACTCAAATCAAGAGGCTTGTCCCCTTCAGGAAGCGCAGACGCAGCAGGACCATCAGGGCTTGCTTCGATAAGATGTTCTTTGGGTAACCCCCCTGACGAAGAGGAAGGTATCTCGGACGAATCAACTTCTGCGGGAATGACATCAACCAGCGGAAGATTGTCCAGTAGAAACCCAACTCCTATGAGAGCATCCAAAACATCATGCTCGAGAGAAGCAGGATCTTTTGCCGCACACAAGACCATCACAAGTCGATCACCAGTCCAAGGCTTCGTGGCACGAAGTCGATCTTTGGCGGAAAACCGGATGACCCCTTTCTTGGACTTCAGTAGACCGACCACACCACCTCGACAGAAGCAACCTACTGCAAAGGACGAGTCATCGCTCGGCTCAATCCCTCGGGATGCGGAACCACGTTTCATAAGTCCAAAGATCTTACGAACTTGATTGGGCTGAATATCACCACGCTTTGTTAGGAGGTCTTTGGCATACTCTTCAGCTGGATCATGGGCAACGGGACGCGAAGGCTCTTGGCATTCCTCACCCGACTCGTCAAGAGAATCAGCTGATGCAGCAAGACCATGGACAAACTGACATTTGCTGGTGAAGATCGGCACATGCTCATCTGTGCGCTTGGCATAAAGCTTGGCTTCTTCGGCGCAGTCGACCCGAAGCTTAGACAAGTCATGCGCGAAGAATGGAAGGGAACCAGGTAACCATATGAAGGCCTTCCCAGATTCAACATCCAAGCCAGTGCTTCGAACAACTGGGCAGTTGTCCAACATGTAGTGAATGGCGAGAGGCATATTGTCGGACGCAAATCCCAAGCTCTGCGAACCGGGCTGAGGTCCACCGCCTGCGTGGAACGTAACAAGGCTCGCTGAGTGCGCAAGAAACGACCTGTATGACTCCGACGGAATTCCCCGGTCTGCCAACGCCCGTGCCGATCCAAGATGCCGACCAGCAGCTGTATCCGCAGCCCACCCAACGCTGAAGGCGTTGCTTCCAGGGATGTTGCACACGCTTGAGGCGGCAATCATTGCCACGACTGCCTTCGCAACGGCTCCTGTGGATTTGGGTTTGGGAGCGGCGGCCTTAGGCTTAGACTTAGGGTCAACCTTAGGGGTCTTATCAGGGTCATGACTGTACTTGCAGTCCTCTCCGTGCATGCAACCAGATGCCATCCTGAAGAAAATGCAAGGCGTCTTAGCCTTTTCTGCATCTGACATGCTTTTTGCTTTTGGCTTTGCTCTCGCCTCAGGCTCAGGGGTTGGTGCTGGGGTTGTAGACACTGGAGCCTCTGGCGGAGTCTTGGGCTCTGGAGGACTTCGCGGTGGCTCTTCGGTCTCAGCAGGTACCCCCCTGGCCTTTGCCTGCGGAGCTGCAATCTGCAAGGACTTGATTACCGACTGAGCATTAGTGTCTTCTCGCTCTTGAACGATGACGTCTTGTATCTTGTTCCATAGGTAACTCCACTCACGACGACGGGATTCTGGCGCAGATTCTCTGATGTCATCAATGACGCGTTCTAGCTTCCTAATGTGCTTCACACGGTGGAAGAGCCATTCGCCAGTGAGGCGATCATCCGGCCTCTGTCCTATTGGGATTGAATACAGAACAGTCCGAACGCGCTGCACAAAATCCCGGAGATCTCGAATGGAGTTTCCTCCAATTTCGACCTGGAACAACGTTGAAGCAGTCAGCACAGTGCCTCGAACACGGTCAATGCTGAAATGACGAGCAAGAAGAGCAAGCATGTATCGACCTTTCGGCTGGGACCCTGTCTGGCCACACAACTCAACGTAGGCGATAACTTCTTGCGCCAACTCAGTCACTTGCTTCAACACACGCATGGAAGTCATCTCTCCAGCAATCCAAGCATCAAGGCGAGGAAGAAGACCTGATTCAGTAAGCTCTTCTTTTTCAGCTGTGAAAGACCGAGACAACCATTCAACAACCAAACCTTCGCCTGACATGTCAAGCTTGGCAATCTGGACCAACAACGCGTTTTTCCAGGCTCGGAAACCAGCAGCGTCGGAAGGAACCGGCTCAAGCTTGAGATGTAACAAAGCTCGGCTGTCAACAATGTGCTTCTCTTGCCTTTCAGGCTCTTCGATCTCATGAACAGGAGATGCATCATTGCATCCTGGATCCGTGCCATTTCTTTGGGCAAGCAGTTGCTGTACGACATCAATCAACTGATCAACACGAGGATCGGTAACGGTCGCAGGAGGGCAAGGGGCTGACTCATTGACAACTTGCGGCAATGAAGGTGCACCACTACTGCTATCCTCATTAGAACCGTTATGTACCCAACTAAACCCACCAGAGCATGCACTTGACGCAATTACCGGCGGCTTATCTGGCTGGAAAGGAGCAGACGTTGGAGGCGAAGACCCAGGACTCGTGGCGCTTGCAGCAGCCTGGCGAAGTCTCTGAATCTCGCGGTCTTTGACTTGCAACTCGACACGTAGCTGGGTGTTTTGGAAGTTCAGCAAGTTGTTGTCACCCCGGCAGCTGGTTAGGGCGGCTTCAAGCTCTTGGTACCCTGCGCGAGCGACCTGCAGTCCTGCTTCGGCCTTGCTTTGCTCGGCCTTAGCTACAGAGAGCTGTTCTTCCAAGATTCGACCCTGTTGAAGGATCTCATCATAGCGATGTTCGTACTGTTGCAACTGCTCACGCATTTGCTCAACGGTGGATTCAACCAAACCTCTAGCCTCATTCTCAACACGCTCTAGCCTTGCGGCATGCAACTGTTCAGCATGATCAGCAACATGTTGCGCTGCTTGCGCTGCGGCTAAACGCTGTGCATCCAAAACCTCTTGCGGAGAGGCTCCAACATTCAGGATGTTCTGTGTGTATGAGGCTTGAGCGGTTAGATTAGGGTAAGGGCTTGAGTGCTCATGAGTTTTGCGAGGTCTAGACAAGGCTTGTCTAGTCAGAGGAGGGGACCTTTCACGGACCTCAACTGCTGAACTACTAGCAACCGAACCACTATCCGAACCAACACCACCTGGCAATGCCGTGGCTGAAGCACTTGACAAATCAAGCACCGAGCTGGCTTGATTGCTAGGGTCAGAAGGAGAAGACATTGCTATGGGAGGTGGAAGCGGTTAGCAGCAGCTCACCGCACCCTTTCTTTTGGCGGAAGAGGCGAGGCTCACGGCGTTCACTGGTGCAACCGTGGAAGGATGTGGCGAAAATTCGCCGAACTATCCTTCAAGGACAGGCACTCCGCTCACTCCTCGGAATTCGGAACAGAGTTGATACACCAGTTGCAAAGTGACTCTTCTGCTTCAATCAGACCAGAAAAACTGGGCACCGTAGATCGAGGATCAACTCGCTTGCCGCGCTTAGCCAAAGAAATGTGGAACGGAGTGATGAATGATGCTCCGGCACACTCGTCCACAACTTCTGCACTGTCGTCAACAATGGCAATGGGACAACGAGCAATATCAAAGACCTTCTCCAGCAGCGCCCGCTTTCCTGATTCACCCGTGGGTTTGCGGGTGATAAAAAGTAGCGAGAGGACTGAAACTCCTGCTTCACGGATGAGCCGATCAGTGCTGTTGCAACTCGTGCCGAGAACTTGAGCTAATGTGTCAGAATGACGGCAATAAGAAAGCACCACCACCAATATCTGCCTGCTCTCCGTAATCTGACTCAACCTCTGCAAAAAGCGAATGTTGCGGTCCGGATACTCTGGGCAATCGTCGCGCCAATTTGTGCTCTGACGAATATCACGGTCAAGGACTCCGTGAAAATCAAAAGCAAGGACTGCACGCGCCTGAGCCACCTCGCAGGAGCGCTTGCACCTTCACTCGAGACTGGAGCCGCTCCGGATGCCTCGGGGCTCAAAAGCACCTTCTTGCTCACTGTCCATCCATTCTCAGGCAGCTACACTTAGGGTCTTAGCTATGAAAGCAATACGGACCTGATAACCAGTTGAAAGACTCAAAACTCTGATGCCTGAGCTAAGGGAACAAGGCAACAAGAGGGAGAACCACAAAGGGTTGGGGATCAACACAGCCCTCGACCCTACGTACAACCCGCTTTCAGAGCGGCCCTTTTTCATCTTGAGCCAAAGGTCAGAAGGTAAGCCATCCTGATCTGCATAACATGACTATACATACATCACTTTACAGGAAGGAAGCTCGTGATTCTTCAACTAAGAAACAAACCTCCACGCCCAAGAAGTTTTCAAGCACAAAAAGAAAGCTACTAAGGACGTCCGAGAGCCTAAACGCTGCGATGCCAAAATTTCCCAAAACTGAGCATCCTCCTGAATCTCCATCTTTTTCTCTCCATATTGGTTCCCGTAGACATCTCTGCATTGGTCTACATGTATCTATATACACACACAATATATACATATATATATATATAATAGATAGATAGATAGATAGATAGATAGATAGATAGCTTTATATGTATATACATATTTATCCCGACAAGCCTCGACTGTGAAAGTCCTGTACACACTACATATATGTAAAGACACAAATAACTGCATGCATATACCACCAATGGACCCCAAAAAGGGCATGTAGATTAGCACATGCATGGACTGGCAGGGGAAAAGCTAAGCCGCAAACCTCGACCCTAAACCCTCAACCCTCAACCCTAAACCCTCAACCCTCAACCCTCAACCCTAAACCGTAAACCCTAAGCCCCTAAACCCTAAACCCTAAACCCTAAACCCTAAGCCCTAAACCCTTAACCCCGATAGCCCGAACCATGGTGCAGGAAACCCTTGTCAAGCCCAAGGGGCATGGTAGTCCGAGTCCTGGAAGGTGGTGATCCCGGGGCCCCCGAAACCCAAAACAAACAAAAAAAACCCTAAACCCTAGCCCTAAACCCTAAACCCTAAACCCTAAACCCTAAACCCTAAACCTTAAACCCTAAACCCTTGAACCCTAGCCCTAAACCCTAAACCCTCGCCCTAAACCCTAAACCCTTAAACCCTAGCCCTAAAGCCTAAACCCTAGCCCTAAACCCCAAAACCCCTACCCAACACCCAAAACCCCAAAACCCCAAAAACCCCAAAAGCCCCAAAAAACCCAACAACGCCAAAACGCCAGAACCCCAAAACCCCAAAACCCCAAAACCCAAAACCCCAAAACCCCAAAACCCCAAAACCCCAAAACCCCAAAACCCCAAAACCCAAAACCCCCCAAAACCCCAAAACCCCAAAACCCCAAAACCCCAAAACCCCAAAACCCCAAAACCCCAAAACCCCAAACCCCAAAACCCCAAAACCCCAAAACCCCAAACCAAAACCTAAGACTCTCAAACCTTCAACCTGCACGGCGGATTCCACGAAAAGGCCCTCCGCCCTGAGCTTCCCGAATCCCAGCACCCCCGAAAGCCTATACCCCATAGAGTACTCGGCGATAAGCCCTGTATAGCTGACGGTTTAGGGTTTAGGGTTTAGGGTTTAGGGTTTAGGGTTTAGGGTTTAGGGTTTAGGGTTTAGGGTTTAGGGTTTAGGGTTTGGGGTTTGGGGTTTGGGGTTTAGGGTTTGAGGTTTGGGGTTTAGGGCTTAGGGTGACGTTGCGGAAAGGGGCCCAAGCCCCCACCACCACACAACAAAGGCAGGCGTCCACCGCGATGACTACCATGGTGAAGAGCCACCTTGCAAGGGCGACAAGCCTACCCCCCTAAACCCTAAACCCTAAACCCTAAACCCCAAACCCTCAACCCCAAACCCTAAACCCTAAACCCCAAACCCTAAACCCTAAACCCTAGCCGAAGCGCTTGCTTGGGGTGAGTGATGTACGGTGGAACTTTGTGCTAAGAAATTTTATGAAGCAAGAAATTAGACTCTCGAATTGAGAAAAATAATTATATTCAGAGTCTGAATCGCAACCCAAACGTAATTACAAATTGAATGGCCTTTTTGCAAGGCTCCAGCCCTCCAGCCCTCCAGCCCTCCAGCCCTCCAGCCCTCCAGCCCTCCAGCCCTCCAGCCCTCCAGGATTAAGCCCTCCAGGATTAAGCCCTCCAGCTCCAGCCCTCCAGCCCTCCAGCCCTCCAGCCCTCCAGGATTAAGCCCTCCAGGATCCAGCCCTCCAGCCCTCCAGCCCTCCAGCCCTCCAGCCCTCCAGCCCTCCAGCCCTCCAGCCCTCCAGCCCTCCAGCCCTCCAGCCCTGCAGCCCTCCAGCCCTCCAGCCCTCCAGCCCTCCAAAGCCCTCCAGGATTAAGCCCTCCAGCCCTCCAGGCTGGAGGGCTGGAGGGCTGGAGGGCTGGAGGGCTGGAGGGCGGAGAAAGCAAAGGGTTGGTCAGGTTGAATAAGAAATGTTTTCAAGACTCTCGCCTCAAATCTACCTTTCTTAATACATCTGCCTGGTTAAGAAATGTCCCAGACTCTGGTGGACCTTCGAACCTTTCTTATCATAAGTTTTGACCGTAGAGGCCAGAAGAGCGACCAAACCGATCAGAGCTTTAACGCCCACCTGCGCATGTGGAGACCCCAGGCTTTGAAGGCTTCTTCGTTTTGCCTTTGGCCTTACAAGGCCCTAAACCCTAAACCCTAAACCCTAAACCCGAAACCCCAAACCCTAACACCCCTGAAAGGCGTAGACGGACCCCATGGTGCGCCAAAAGCAAAGCCCCAAGGCCCCAAAGCCCAAAAATGTATCGCGTAGGGTCTGGAGGTTCTAGCCTGAACCCGAACTAAACCCTGATTAAGCCCTGAACCCTGAACCCTGAATCAGGGAAAGGCGCAGAAGAATCTGCATCTGACAGGACCGCTGGATGCATTTCCAAGGCCTCAGTTGTCAGCTTCCCAACCACCTCTGGGATAATTCAGAACCCTACACCCTAACCCGAAACCCTAAACCCCTAAACCCGAAGTGTTAGTGCTTCAGGAGTTAAGGGTGGGGTTTAACAAGGCCTAGGGAAGTTAAGAACTCGGTTCCCCTTAAGACTTCCCCTTAAAGGTTTCTCAGGAATAAAAGGACGCCTGCTTGAACCTTAACGCGAGACCTAAACCCGAAACCCTAAACCGCTAATCCTAAACCCTAGACGCCTAACCCTAAACCCGAAACCCTAAATTTGCCCTAAATTCAACCCAGAACCCAGTTCTGGGTTGAGGAGTCTAAGGTCAACTTCGTGCCTGCCCGAAAGACTTTCAATCCTGAGCCTCGTAGTTCAGCTCATGTGCTCCGCGAAATAGCCGGAGGCTATCAGGGTCCAAAACGTTGAGCTTTACAGCCAACCTGATTCGAACCCCGCAACAGCAGCTTCGATGACACAGTCATGGCCACCGATTCCTCGCCCTTCTTGAACGTCAAGGCAAAGGTCGGCTTCCCCCTCCCCCCCCCCCCCCCCCCCCCCCCCCCAACCTAAACCCTAAACCCTCAACCCTAAAAACCCTAAACACCCTAAAAACCCTAAAAACCCTAAACACCCTAAACCCTAAACCCTAAACCCTAAACCCTAAACCCTAAACCCTAAACCCTAAACCCTAAACCCCAAGCTTGCAGAGATCGCTCTCAGCTGAGACTTAGCAGTGGGTACCCTGCGTGGGTCTAGGAGTCTAGGGTTTAGGATTTCGGGTTTAGGATTTCGCTGTTAGGGTAACATTGGGCAGTACCCCTCTTTCTCGGGGGGGAAGTTCCTCTCATCAGGATCAGCGTCTCTTTTGGGGTATCTTAGGCCTTTCTTATTAGGGGAAATACCCATAATAGGAAAACACACACACACACACACACAGACAGAGCCCCATCCTACAAAGCGCCGGAAGTCCAAAACCCCGAAACCCTAAACGCTAAACCCCTAAACTCCTAAACCCCAAAACCCCAAACCCTAAACCCTAAAACCCGAAACCCGAAATCCGAACGCGTAAGCCCCGAAACCCTAAACCCTAAACCCTAAACCCTAACCCCCTAAACCCTAAACCCTAAACCCTAAACCCTAAACCCTAAACCCTAAACCCTAAACCCCAAACCCTAAACCCTAAACCCTAAACCCTAAACCCTGAACCCTAAACCCTAAACCCCTAAACCCCCTAAACCCCCTAAACCCTAACCCCTAAACCCTAAATCCTAAACCCCGAAATTTCGAAGAAGGGAGGCAGACTCTTGGTGCTCTCCTCCGAGTCAGGAGTCTCGGGCATCAGCTCGAAAGGCAGCGCCTCGGGGTGTAGGGGTTTAGGGTTTAGGGTTTGGGGGGTTTAGGGTTTAGGGTTTAGGGTTTAGGGTTTAGGGCTTAGGGTTTAGGGTTTCGGGTTTGGGATTTCGGGTTCGGGGTTTCGGGTTTTAGGGTTTCGAGTTTAGCGTCTGGAAGTCCAGGGCTGCCACACGGTAGGCTTAACGCGGGGTTCTCAGGATTCAGGAACTTGAAGAAAGTTACCATAAGGATAATCTGGATGCTCTTTGCTCCTTGGTTCAAGCTCAATAAACAAGAAGCCAGCATGGCACGCAAGAACTCCTAGACCCAAGAGTAAGTTAGGAATAAACCCTAGACCCCAAACCCCAAACCCCAAAACCCTAAACCCTGTTTGTGCTTATAAGCCCTAACTAGGGCTACTGGAACCCACTGAGTAACCTAGGAATAAAAGGGTACCCTTTTTTGGTTGAAAGGAAATGATAAGGGAACCTGACCGAACCGCAAAAAAAGGAATAAGGGCCTACGCTGGGTCCTAATCAAACTTCCTCAGTTTGCTCGGAATGTCCGAACTTAGTAACGCCTGATTTCTCGATCCCAAAAGAAGTCCAAAGCCAAGACGTCATCGCAAAAAAGGCAACAGCATCAAATTGAGGGCCCTTTTTGATGCCCTCAGACATGTACTCGAATAGAGACCCCAAAAGGTTTTGATCAACCCCCCGCAAAAGAACTCCTGCAAAGTCTCTCTACCTGCTCAACCTCCCCGGATGATTCGGCCTCTGCGGCCACAATCGCTTCGTCCGCGTGCTTCGGACTGTGATCGATTCGTTGCTGTATATCCTCGTCACAGGCTTGTTGGCACCCAGGTGTCTCGCGTTTAGGGCTTGGGCTTGTTTAGGGTTTGTATAGGGTTTAGAGTTTAGGGTTAAGGGTTTAGGGTGAGTGCTTCGATTCTTGTGGGAGGGGAGGGTGCAGCGCCTGAACCGTGGCGCTGAGCCGTGCGAGATCGATGATGTCGTTGCTGACTGGCTGCCTTGGGTGGGCTTCGAGAACACCACAATGAGGGCTCAAACCCCAAACCGTAAACCCAAAACCCAAAACCCCAAGCTCTTGTTCTGAAGAACTGAAGTATATATTTTTAATTCATTAATGATTAATTATTAATTAATTATTAATTAATTATTCATTAATTATTAATTAATTATTAATTAATTATTCATTAATTATTAATTAATTATTACACTGCAAACCCCAGTCGAGACTACAACCCCCTAAATGCGCGCAGAACACAGAACACACCCACATTCCGCCCCCCCCCCCCCCCCCCACAAAGAACGCATTCACTATAACAAAATGACAAAAAAATCTAATGCTGAATGATGAAAATGACGATGACAATGATAATCACAACAACAACGATGTCTATTCACAGAGCAATGACACGGGGTTGCTGTTCAGGAACCCGAAACCCACATCTGCAATGTGGCAAACTCAGCCTAAACCCTAAACCCTAAACCCTAAACCCTAAACCTCTCTCTCTTCAAAGCAACCCGATTCAGGGCTTTGGGTCTGGTATGGGTTTAAAGCCTAAACCCGAGATACCCTAAACCATGAGTCCCTCAACCCTAACCCCTAAACCCTAAACCCTAAACCCTAAACCCTAAACCCTAAACCCTAAACCCTAAACCCTAAACCCTACCAGGAGTGTCCAGAGCTGCAGAGGAGACGCTTGAATGTCACCTGCCCAGAGTGCGCGTCCACCCAATAGAGCACCGCATGGCCTTTGCCGTCCTCACCTTTGCTCACGGGGTTTCGGAATTGGGGGTTTAGGGTTTAGGGTTTAGGGTTTAGGGTTTAGGGTTTAGGGTTTAAGGCTTAGGTTTCAGCATCTCAAGTCCAAGCATTCACTAGTCAAGCAATTACTCCAGGAAAATACCCACCCGCCCAAAGAATCCCGCAACATTAAAAAAATATTTCACTTATAGAACGACCTTGCCAGCAAAAAAAATGACCTTGCCCAGTAAGAAAATGACCTTGCCCAGCAAAAAACTGACCTTGCCCAGTAAAAAAAGACCTTGCCGAATAAAAAAGACCTTGCCCAGTAACCCTCGTTTTTTCGATCGAACGACCTTGAACAGTAAAAACATGACCTTGTCCAGTAAAAAATGACCTTGCCCTGTAAATAAATGACCTTGCCCGGGAAAAAAATGACCTTGCCCAGTAACTCATTAACATTTAAATTATATATGAAAGAGAGGTTTAGGGCTTAAGGTTTCGGGTCTTGAGCCTCAACCCTAACCCTTAAACCCCCCTACACCCTAAACCCGTCTGCATCCTCTTCCTAGAATCACGCGGCTCCGGCTTCTATTGAAGAAATCAGCCCGGGGAGGGAGTGTCGGAGCCCGAGCAGTAGCCTGTAGGGTTTAGGGTTTAGGGATTAGGGTTTCGGGTTTCGGGTTTAGGGCTTAGGGTTTGGGTTTATCGGCTGCGAGCGAAGACGGCACTCGAGACCCTCTAGAAGCCGTCAAGTCCCCTGACCTCGTCCGATCCCAGCTGCCGGTACCAAAGCCCCGCAAGGACAAAACCCCCAAACCTAAACTCGAAACCTCCAAACCCTACACCCCTACACCCCTAAGCCCCTAAGCCCCTAAGCCCGTAAGCCCCTAAACCCCTAAACCCCTAAGCCCCTAAACCCGAAACCCGAAACCCGAAACCCTAAACCCGAAACCCGAAACCCTAAACCCTAAACCCGAGCCAGGGTGCACCAGCACTGAAGCCAGGAACAGTCCTGAAACGCCACGTTCCTGGGTGAGAGCGGGCGTATTTGGGAATGTCGGAGAATGGCGGTCTAGGGTTTAGGGTTTAGGGTTTAGGGTTTAGGGTTTAGGGTTTAGGGTTTAGGGTTTAGGGTTTAGGGTTTAGGGTTTAGGGTTTAGGGTCCGCCGACCCTGGCGGCGTGTTGGATGGGAAAAGGAGGTGAAAACCCTCCTCCCCCCCGTGGGGGGGGGTAGGGGGGGGTACCCGGGCAGCTTTTCCATGGAGGGCCAGGCCACCCACACCGCATAAACTCACGGACCTACTTTTACTTTATGGTCCAGAGGTGCATGTACTCCCTTATTTTTTGTTTCCTTCCAGTTCGCCATTTTTCTACTCCCCATGCAGTGCCCCTGTTGCTCTTTTTTCAATCTTTTTTTCGGCAGTTCATGCACATGCCTCCTCCTGGTCCTTGCCCATGAACTGCACCGACGGATCTAGACCTCGGAACACAACACGCATCATGCCCACACGACACAAACACAGGGAGAATGCATGAACTGTGCTGCTGCCTCGGTGCACGGACTGCAGCTCCGAGGACAAGGCCGGCTCGACAACTGTTTTCTTTGAGGTTCCGCGGTCTCCTGCCCACACAACTTTGACTTTGTCACTGCATGAACTGTCCACATGCAGACTGCATGAACTTTTCGGGGCTTGCTCTGGAAGGCACAGTCTGCGAGCCCATGAACTGTCCACATGCAGACTGCATGAACTTTTCCGGGTCTGCTCTGGAAGGTACAGTCTGCGAGGCTATTGAAGGGCGCGGATGGCCATTCCTGCGGTTCCAATGCACCAGTTCATCAATTGCTGCTGCATAATCTGTGAATGTACCGGTTCATGCACTGTAGCTGCATAAAGTGTCCTGTGCTTCAGTTTACCACCCAAGCACCTGCGCTTGCAGAGGGTTCGCAGCATTGGCGTTCCCTCGCAGGTAGACCCTGTCGTGCACCTCCTTGGAGCGGTGCAGGGTCTGGTGCACAGCAGACTCGCGCACTTTGGAGGACGAATTAGAGAGAGCATTGGAAAGTGCCTTGGAGAGAATGTTCCGCACAACCTGCTCTCCCGCTCCCAGCACTCGCTTCAAACACTGGGAGTGAAATCTGCTAGTTTGGGAGTCGTCCCAAAAGCCCGGGAAGAGTGTGAAACAAAGGCCTGCCCCTTCGCCGTGGGTCTCATCCGTGAATGTGATGTCAAACCTGGCCTTCGGGCCCAGGTTTCGCCGAATAACCGGCCGGTGCCGCTGCAGGAAGTCTTCACACAACTGCTGAAGGCAGGGGTGGAGCACTTTCCCCGCACCTTCAGCAGTGTTGACTTCCGAGCTGAGTCTCCAGGCGGTCTTGTCCTCGATCGGCTCCGCCACGATCGAAGTCGCCCCAGAGGAGTCCTTAGATGCGATGTACTATGCTGCTGGCGTGCATGAATGGAACTGTTGGCAAGGTTTGTGAACTTCTTGCGCGTGAACTGTGTCATGATGATTTGCCTGCCGGAGAGCCCGAATGGCCAGAATGTCCCAATTAACGACGAGGGTACGCAACTCTTTGGCCCTGTAGCAAGTCCACAGCAGGAGTTCGGAGGCTAGAAGCGATTGCTTGGCCTTCGCCAAATCAAGCTGCCGCTTCTTCGTTCCGGGGTCTTCGGGGCCTTTCTGCTGCTGACCCCGGAAAGCTGCCAGGCGACCGAGGATTGCCGGCAAGGAAGGCTTCGGCTTCCGCACGAAGAACCCCCCGTCCGACCGGTTCGCATCGGGCACGAAGATGTCCGTGGCCCGTGTAAATTTGCCACTCCTCCTTTGTCGCATGTGGGAAAATGAAGCAGTAGGCAAGACTGTTGAGCACGCGCTTCATACAGTCCAGCCAGCTGCTGCTCACCGGAACCCGTTTGCCCCCTCGCTGAATGCCGTCCTCGCCCAGACCTGCGAAGTACCTCTCCACCCGCTCGATCTCGATGTACTCGCCCACTTGTTGGAATGGTCCCTCGTCCTTGTCGTCCGCCCAGGACACGAAAAGCAGAAAGCGGTTCCAGTACGCGAGGGCCGTGGAGTCGCTGAGCTTGGCCGACCTGAGGCGGCCGTATTTGGGGTCCTTCGCTCCTGCGAGGTACCAGGCCTTCTCCTCCTCCAGCTGCTCGGCATCGCTCCTGTTTGGGTCCTTGGTGCTACCCCTACCCCCCCCCCCCCCAACGTTTCACAGAGGCTCAAGCAAATCAATTTTTGGCATCCTTTGAGCTGACGAGCGCGTTTAAACCTTTCAACTATGCTCCAGCGGGGTCGGCGGCTTGAGCCGGAGGCTCTTAAATTTAGGGTTTAGGGTCACCCTTTGTTGTAGGGGGGGGGTTTCTAGTAATAAGGATGACGAGTATTTTCGTGGAATTAGAGGTGCCGTTATTTTGGGAAATGACCAGGTTTTGGGAACTCGCGAGCCAAGCCCAGCCTTCTCTTGCAGCTCTGTTAGCTAGGGTTTAGGGTTTAGGGTTTAGGGTTTAGGGTTTAGGGTTTAGGGTTTAGGGTTTAGGGTTTAGGGTTTAGGGTTTAGGGTTTAGGGTTTAGGGTTTAGGGTTTAGGGTTTAGGGTGTAGGGTGTAGGGTGTAGGGTTTAGGGTTTAGGGTTTAGGAGGAGTTCACCACTTTGCCAAACCTCTTGTCGTGCCAGCTGCAAGAGGATCTCACATGACCACCGCCCCAAAACCCTAAAACCCTTGACCCTAAACCCCAAACCCTAAACCCTAAACCCTCTCCTTTGCTCCGGGTCGCTGCTCCTCCTCCTGATATTCAGGCAGCTGTAGGTGATCCTCCAACTCCTTGACGTCCTGTGGGGACAGCCCTAAACACCTTAAACCCTACACCCCAAACCCCAAACCCCAAACCCCAAACCCCAAACCCCAAACCCTAAACCCTAAACCCTAAACCCTACCGAAATCAAACCGATACATGAACCCCAGAAGGTCCCGAAAGGTTCATCTCCTTCCTTATATACTCTCCTTCTATAGGTTCAGGGGGTTTAGGGTTTAGGGTTTAGGGTTTAGGGTTTAGGGTTCAGGGTTCAGGGTTCAGGGTTTAGGGTTTAGGGTTTAGGGTTTAGGGTTGGGGTGTGTGGAATTATTCTTCGAATGTTTGGCATGTCCTCAGTGTGGCGAGCTTGTGGGTGGGTTGAAGCTCTACCGCATGGAACGACGCACGGAGTCAAAGCAAAGGGCTCCTGACCACAACACTATATATATATATATATGCAATAATATATATATATATATATATTTATTTATTTATTTGTTTATATATGTAATATAATATATATATACATATGTAATATAATATAATATAATATAATATATTACAATTATAATATAATATATCATAATATAATATATGTAATATATAATATATATATATATATAGACCCTGCATGAGTCCGAGATTCAGCCCGGGGATGAAGACTTATCGAAGCCCTACGAAGCCCCTGGACCGTAAACCCTAATCACCTCAATTTTCGGACGAGGCGCACAAAGCCTCTAAACCCTCAACCCCCAAACCCCCAAACCCCAAACCCCAAACCCCAAACCCTAAACCCTAAACCCTAAACCCTAAACCCTAAACCGTGCCGTACCAGAGGTCAACGACCTTCGCTCAGAACGTGCGTCCTCCTCGAGGATCAGCTGCATCTTGTGCAGATCTTCGGCCTGTAAGTAGGGCTTAGGGTTTAGGGTTTAGGGTTTAGGGCTTAGGGTTTGGGGTTTAGGGTTTGGGGTTTAGGGCTTGGGGTGTAGGGGGTTTAGGGTTTAGGGTTTGGGGTTCAGGGGGTTTAGGGTTTCAGGGGTTCAGGGTTTGGGTAGACGCCACCCACACACCCGCCCACAGATACAGGGGTTGAGGTTCTGACAGGCGCAGGTCTTCCACCTTTTTGCCCTGGCGGCCAAGAGCCACAACAGACATCAGGGCGAAGTTAGCAGGGACTGCCATCTCCGGCAACATGCACTGCAGTCGATCAAGGCGAAGATTCCGAGCTTGTCAGTCTTTCAACCGTCCGCGCTCCCGCGCCTGTTGTAGAACCGGGTGAGCAAGCTGAGGACATTACATGCTTCTTTATTTGTACATGTGCAGCTCGGGTTGAGGGTTGAGGGTTGAGGGGTGGGGCTGGGTGAAGCAAGTTTGGGGCCTACGGACGTTCAGGGTTTGCCGCTCGGGGTGTAGGGCCTCGTCGGGTCCAAGGGCTAAGGAAACTGAATCTCACACACCCGGATGTGCTCACACGCAACAGTGCGCACGGATCTACAGCAAACCACCTAAACTCAACACCTTCCCCCCAACGAACAGGCAAAAAGGCCGCCACACACCAACTCCAGCCCACAAACCCATCACCACCTACGCTCAACCCGAAAGCCTGAACCCCAAACCCCAAACCACAAACCCTAAACCCAAAAACCCTAAACCCTGAACCCTAAACTCTAAACCCTAAACCCTGTTTGGGGCTGAGGGTTTAGGGGCAGGATGTAGGGCACCGCGTAACGGTTGGGGGTTCGGGGTGTAAGAAAGACTTAAGGTGGGCTTGGGGCAAGGGTTTAGGGTTAAGGGTCTAGGGCTAAGGGTTAAGGGTTAAGGGTTTAGGGTTTAGGGTTTAGGGTTTAGGGTTTAGGGCTTAGGGTTTAGGGTTTAGGGCCTAGGGTTTAAAGGGTGCTTAGAATCACTAAACCTTCGACAAGCCCCTGACTTCAAGCTGGAGGTCTGCTAGAGACGCTGGCTTGGGTAGTTCTGTGATCCTGGTTTATTCCAAGATGCAACCCCAATCTCTTAGGGTAGATACATGCTCCCGCAACCCCTTACATACCCTGCAAAAACCAAAGGGCCCTTACTTCGAAACCCTTGAAAACTTAGAAAAAAGAGGGAAGGGCGAATATTGAGGGATCATGAAACTACCCTTAAACATTCTAGCTTGGCTTGCCCTGAGCCCTGACAAGCCTTTCAAACCAGAGTCCATGGCTTCTAGGGCCCAAAAACCATGCAATCCCGCCTCCTCGGCAGAGAGATGGCTGGCCACCTGTCTCACTTGGGCGTCTTAGCCGGTCTCCGAGAGCTGTTCTACATCACGGCCGCAGGTTTGGTACACGCAACTGTCAGCAATACTTGTCAATACTACTTGGGATGTTCCCCCGTATACTAGCAGTCCTGAATAGGGATGACAGTCAAGGGTACGATAATCCCTGTTAAGGACTGTTAGTATAAAAGGGGAATATCCCAAAATATCACCACCAAAACGATTTGTAGGGTTGTTGGGTGTGGGGTCTGGAGATGTTCTTAAAGTTTTGTGAGTTTCCGGGCTGATAGGGGTCTACTTGGGGTGGGTTTTGAGGTTTAGCGTCTCGGGTTTAGGGTTTAGGGTTTAGGGTTAGGGTTTGGGGTCGGGGGCCCAGCCCTTTCTGGAAACCGTGCCAACCCTGTGTCCTGCATACTCAATGCTGAGTCGCTCCTTCCTGCGTCTAAGGACTGTAGTAGCCCTATCCCAAACAGCCTGGCAACCCCTGCACCTGTTTCGTGTTTGCATTGCACTTGAGTCTCTCCGCCGTGGTGCGTTTGCACCTAATTAAAGTGAAACTAAAGCTCGACGGCACCCCGGTATCCTCAGTTCCCCTAAGATGGCTAGGGAGAGTGGCCCTGGCAACTCTCTTGCTGAACCCTAATACCCCTGATTTACTTCCCCTAACCCCCCCCCCCCCCCCCGCCCCAACCACAAAAAAAAACACAAAAAAACTAAACCCGAACCCTACACCCCAAACCCTAAACCCCAAACCATAACCCCCAAACCATAAGCCCCAAACCACAAACCCGAAACCCCAAACCCCAACCCTAAACCCTCACCCACCCCACCCCCCACCCCAAATGGCTCAACTCCCCCCCCCATGGCGCCTCAGGTGCTCCGAACTTGCGTAGAACCTTTGAGATGCGCTTTGCCTGCAGGGTTGAGGGGTTTAGGGGTTCAGGGTTTTAAAAGGGTTCAGGGGTTTAGGGGTTTAGGGGTTTGGGGGTTTAGGGGCTTCGAGTTTAGGGTTTTGGGGTTGAGGGTGTGCCTAAACTGAACCTTTCAGGGGCCCAAAAAAGAGATAGGCTACTGGAGCCCTGCAGGACACAAGAATTCGGGAAGTAAGGTTCTCTTTCCCAGACGAAGAAAGAAAACGCAGAAATACATGCAGACGTGGCGTAGGTCGGTATACACGTCCCTGTTTGGGTCCCCTAACAAATTACAGGGCCTCTTAAGAACAGGACTCCACAGGGACCCTACTTTATCGAACTTTCGGAGGTCCATGCCATAATCCACCTCAACCCTGAAACCATAAACCCTAAACCCTACACCCTGAACCCTAAACCCTAAACCCTAAACCGGCTTAGGGTTCGGGGTTCAGGGAAACCCTGGAACTCTCAAACCCCACACTCCTCCACACAAAGCCTTGCCATGCGAAACCCTCAAGGCCCCAGGCTAAGGAAGACACCTGAGACCACTGCTTACATGTTCGTTACATCTACGTTTGTGTACATTTGCATAGGATCTCCAAGACATGCCCTAGTTACCCTAAACCCTAAACCCCAAACCCTAAAACACTCAGACCCTGAACCCTAAAACTCTAAACCCGAAACCCTAAACCCTAAACCCTAAGCCCTAAACCCTAAACTCAACCCTGAAGCCACCTCTTTGAAAGCCGCTGCGGCGCACCGATCTGGGCTCATGTTGGCAGTGCCCTGCCTGAGAGCAGTTTAGAGTGTAGCCCCCAAACCCTAAACCCTAAACCCTAAACCCTAAACCCTAAACCCTAAACCCTAAACCCCAAACCCCAAACCCCAAACCCTAAAGTCTTGGCCGCGAGCGCGACCTAGTCGCGAAGCGGCCTCGCGACGATCAGGAGCCGTCAAGACACACCACTGCAGAGGGTAAAGCCTCTGCAGCCTCTCCTCCTCGGCAAGCCCCCGTACTGGGACTAATAAAGGTCAGACCTGTAAACTTCAACCCCATACCCGGCATGAAATCCTAAATCCTAAATTCGAGCCTACAAGCTTCCCGGAGCTTCCCAGGGCTTTTTTGAAGCCCCCAGAGCCTCTTCGAGAGCTTTTCAAGCTGCTTCGGAGCCTTTTAGGGGCTCCCAAGGGTCACCCGGACCCCCGCGACCTTTTCACAGCCTAATTTTGGTCAAGGGGGGGTCGTATTTTTCCATTTTCGAAGCAATTTAGTATTCGGAGACCCCCCCTTGCTCAAAACTCCGACCCCCCCTTGAAGGGGAAAGTTTGCCTCCAAAAACACCCCAAATGAGGGGGACCCCAGGATCGGACCGGGTCCCAGTTAAAAGTGCGATTTTTTAGTACTGAAATCGACGGTTCTGGGCGGGCTCTAAAACCGAGCCTTCACCGGTTTCAGGGTTTCAAGTTTTTCAAGGCTCTTCAAGGCTTTTCCAAGCTTCCCAGAGCTTCCCAGGGCTTTTTGAAGCCACCAGAGCCTTTTCGATAGCTTTTCAAGCTGCTTCGGAGCCTTTTAAGGGCTCCTAAGGGTCACCCGGACCCCCGCGACCTTTTCACGGTTCTGGGCGGGCTCTAAAACCGAGCCTTCACCGGTTTCAGGGTTTCAAGTTTTTCAAGGCTCTTCAAGGCTTTTCCAAGCTTCCCAGAGTTTCCCAGGGCTTTTTGAAGCCACCAGAGCCTTTTCGATAGCAGCCTAATTTTGGTCGAGGGGGGGTCGTATTTTTCCATTTTCGAAGCAATTTAGTATTCGGAGACCCCCCCTTGCTCAAAACTCCGACCCCCCCTTGAAGGGGAAAGTTTGCCTCCAAAACCACCCCAAATGAGGGGGACCCCAGGATCGGACCGGGTCCCAGTTAAAAGTGCGATTTTTTAGTATTTTCAAGCTGCTTCGGAGCCTTTTGGGGGCTCCTAAGGGTCACCCGGACCCCCGCGACCTTTTCACAGCCTAATTTTGGTCAAGGGGGGGTCGTATTTTTCCATTTTCAAAGCAATTTAGTATTCGGAGACCCCCCTTGCTCAAAACTCCGACCCCCCCTTGAAGGGGAAAGTTTGCCTCCAAAACCACCCCACATGAGGGGGACCCCAAGATCGGCCCGGGTCCCAGTTAAGAGTGCGATTTTTTAGTACTGAAATCGACGGTTCTGGGCGGGCTCTAAAACCGAGCCTTCACCGGTTTCAGGGTTTCAAGTTTTTCAAGGCTCTTCAAGGCTTTTCCAAGCTTCCCAAAGTTTCCCAGGGCTTTTTGAAGCCACCAGAGCCTTTTCGATAGCTTTTCAAGCTGCTTCGGAGCCTTTTAGGGGCTCCTAAGGGTCACCCGGACCCCCGCGACCTTTTCACAGCCTAATTTTGGTCAAGGGGGGGTCGTATTTTTCCATTTGCAAAGCAATTTAGTATTCGGAGACCCCCCTTGCTCATAACTCCGACCCCCCCTTGAAGGGGAAAGTTTGCTTCCAAAAACACCCCAAATGAGGGGGACCCCAGGATCGGCCCGGGCCCTAGTTAAAAACGCGATTTTTTAGTATTGAAATCGACGGTTCTGGGTGGGTTCTCGTTTTCTGGATTTTTGACCAAAACCGAGCCTTCACCGGTTTCAGCCAAAAGCACCCCAAATGAGGACAACCCCAGGATCGGCCCGGGTCCCAGTTAAAAATGCGACTTTTTAGTACTGAAATCGACGGTTCTGGGTGGGTTCTCGTTTTCTGGAATTTGACCCGAACCGCGCCTTGCTCCTCTCGGGCACTTCCTGCAGGCTCCTCCCGGACAGTTTCTGAGCTTTTTTGGGCTCTTCCCAGACAGTTTCTGAGCATTTTGGTGCTCCTCCCGGACAGATTCTGGGCCTTTTTGGGCTCCTCCTGGACAGTTTCGTGTTCAAAGCAATTTAGCATTCGGAGACCCCCTTGCTCAAATCCTCCCGGACAATTTCTGGGCCTTTTTGGGCTCCTCTTGGACAGTTTCGTGCTTGTTTGGGCTCCCGGACAGTTTCTGAGCCTTTTTAAATCCTTCCAGTTTCTGAGTTTTTTTGGGCTCCTCCCGGACAGTTTCTGGGCCTTTCTGGGCTCCTCCCGGACAGTTTTCGAGCCTTTTTGGGTTTTGGGGCCTTTTTGAACGCCTTTTTTTTGGGCTCCTCCCGGACAATTTTCTGCACTTTTTTGGGCTCACGGACCTTTTTAAGCTCCTCCCGGACAATTTCTGAGCTTTTTGGGCCCGGACAGTTTCCGAGCCTTTTTGGCTTTTCGGGCTCCTTCCGGACAATTTCGCGTTTCTGTCGGCTCCTCGTTTCTGAGCTTTTTTGGGCTCCTCCCGGACGGTTTCTGACCTTTTTTGGGCTCCTCGCTTTTTTGCTCCTCCCGCACAGTTTCTAAGCCTTTTTGGGTTCCTTCCGGACAGTTTCGGAGCCTTTTCGGGTTTTGGTGCCTCTGGAAGCCTTTTTAAGCCTTTAGGCTCCTCCCAGACAGTTTCTCAGCCTTTTTGGGCTCCTCCCGGACAGTTTCTGCTCCTCCCGGACAGTTTCGGGGCCTTTTTGGGCTCCTCCCGGACAGTTTCGGGATCAAGAGCGTGCATGTTGGTCTCTTCTGAGAGGAAGCGGCGGCTTTGTTTTGCTGGCGGCAGCCAGGTAGTCTCACGTAAAACCCGGACCCTGCTCCGAGGGACCCACAATCTTTTGTTTTGGCGGGAAAACTTCCCTCCGGTTTCTCCAATTTTTGTTTCTTAAACATCTGCGCGCAAGTTGAGTTGCATCCTTCGGCTACAACTCAACTTCCGCGCGACGTGCTTGTAATTCAGAGAAGGGGGTAAGAAAAAGAAAAAAAGAAAAATTGACTACACAACGAACACCGGGAGGGTCGGGCGGGCAACAAGCAGCCGCGCGTCAAGCTTGGCACACCCTAAACCCTAAACCCTAAACCCTAACCCTAAACCCTGAACCCTAAGCCCTGAACCCTAAACCTTAGAGTAGGGTGTAGGGGCCTAGGGAGGGCTAGGGAACCAGCTAAGGGACGGTGATGAATGTCTGAGGTGAGGGCTTCTGGTAGGAGGGCTTTACGGGCTTAGGGATTAGGGTTAGGGTCTAGGGTCTAGGCTTTAGGCTTTAGGCTTTAGGCTTTAGGCTTTCGGCTTTCGGCTTTCGGCTTTCGGCTTTCGGCTTTCGGCTTTTGGCTTTAGGGCGTTCGCTAAGGTTGCAGGGGTTGAGACAGCGGGCGCGGGGTTTAGAGCTGTTGGGGGGGGGGGGGGGGGGGGGGGGGCTGCGACGTCCTGATTCTTGGGTCTGATCAATTTTGGTAGGTTCAGAGACATTAAGGCTACTAAGGGCTTAGGGGGTTTGACATAGTGGTATTGTTGGATGAGTATGACATCTTCATTCAAACAAAACGCGAACTGCAACAAGATTCTGATGAATTCGGTTTAAAGAAGAACGAACCGGATAATCAGATTGAACAACAATCCCTTGTCTCACCAAGCGTTGGGTGCGGTGGTTTGGAGTTTGGTGTTGGTGGGCCAAGAGAAGGAATACAAGACCCCATAATACCTATAAAAAAGCACTATACACCCTAAACCCTAAACCCTAAACCCTAAACCCTAAACCCTAAACCCTAAACCCTAAACCCTAAACCCTGTGCTGACTTGCTTGGGGAAGTTGCACTGTGGGAAGGCTGGCTGCGGTCACGCTCGTCTTTCGGAAGCGCTTGCCTTCGAATCCAGCGGGGCCCAAGGAGTGCGGATCTTGCGCTTAGGGGTTTAGGGTTTAGGGTTTAGGGGTTTAGGGGTTTAGGGGTTTAGGGTTTAGGGTTTAGGCTTTAGGGTTTAGGGTTTAGGGTTTAGGGTTCGATGTCTAGCGTTTAGGGTTCTTACTCTTGGCGCAGTCAGAGGTGGTTCGCAAAAATCTACTGCCGCGGCCTTCGGCAACTACTACGCCTATAGCCTATAGCCGAAAGAGATCAGCGCACTTGATACAAAAGATCGCCATGGAACGATATCCAAAAGCTAGAGATCTAGGCTTTGCTGAGTTCTTCACGCAGGTGTCGACTTTCCCCATGGAAATCTTCATGCGCAAATACCGAAGCAGCCCCAATCGCACCATACAACACTTGTCACAGGACTTGGCGAAGATTCATGATCCTGCTTCAGGTCTAGGGCTCAAGGTTTAGGGTATGGGTCTACCCTCAACCCTCAACCCTCAACACTCAACCCTCAACCCTCAACCCTCAACCCTCAACCCTCAACCCTCAACCCTCAACCCTCAACCCTAAACCCCAAACCCAGGATGGTGGGGTCTCATCTGATCTCTGCTGCGCCCTGGCGGCTGTGCCAGCCGAAGACGTCCAGGTAGATGCTGGATCTGTAGGACATGGGAAGTCCTCCGGTTGTGTGGGCTTTGGGGGTTTAGGATTCGGCAGGAAAGGCAGGGCGTGAGGAATCCATGAGGATCAGCTAGAGGTTTAGGGTGTGGTTCAGGAGAGGAGGGTCAGAAGACTTGGAAAAAATGGGAGCATGGGTTACGAATTCAGAAATGACTTGAACTCGAACTCCAACACCTCAATCTGGAAGCCACTAAGCTTCATTACGAAGGTTGAAGGTTAAGGAATTAGAATGTCACTCCCTCTCTCTGTCCTTTCGAGTCCTGCACGTGGAGATCCCTCACCCCCTAAGCCCTAAAGCCGAATCCCTGAACCGGGAGCTCCCCGGAAGCCCTAAACCTTAAACCCAAAAGCCTAAACCCTAAACCCTAAACCCTAAACCCTAAACCCTAAACCCTAAACCCTAAACCCTAAACCCTAAACCCTAAACCCTAAACCCTAAACCCAACACCCTGCACTCCCCGGAAGCCCGAAGAAACCCCAAAAGGCGTCCGGCGCGGGACTTCAGGGGCGAGGACAAGTGCATGATGATCACAATCCAGCCCATGTGCCTGAGATTCCGGGAGGATCTAGCTCCGGGTTTAGGGTTTGGGGTTTGGGGTTTGGGGTTTGGGGTTTGGGGTTTGGGGTTTGGGGTTTAGGGTTTAGGGTTTAGGGTTTGGGGTTTGGGGTTTAGGGTGTTTAGGACTTGGGGTTCAATGCAGAAGGATTTGAGGCTAGGCTAGGTTCGGAGTTCTGCCTTGAAGTCTACAAGGCCGCTAAACCCTAAACCCTATCCGGGAAGTTATGTGTCTGCCCAACCCTGAACCCTGAACCCTGAACCCTAGGCCCTAAACCCTAAACCCTAAACCCTAAACCCTAAACCCTAAACCCTAAACCCTAAGAAGGATTGAAATGCGGAGGGGGTCTTGGCTTCGCTGGGGTCTTGGGGTCTACGCCCTGAAACCCTCTAAACCCTAAACCCTCAATCCTAAACCCTAAACCCTAAACCCTAGAGGGAGACTCGCAGGTCCAGCTTCCAGAGCAAGGAGGGCGGCAAAGACCGAATGGTGCCCTGACTACTGACTTTCGACACTGATGCAGGGCAACCATCCCGACCCCCCTACACCCCTACACCCTCAGTCCTAAACCCTAAACCCGAAACCCTAAACCCTAAACCCTAAACCCGAAACCCTAGCCCCTACACCGTGAAGCCCTGTCCATGGAAGCCTCAATCTACAGCCCGAAAAGCCACAGCTATCACCTCAATCTCTCAAACTTCCCGCGACCCGCCATGGTATGGCACAAGTGCCTTTGAAGACGTGGCCCAAAACTCACCTGTACGTCATGGAGGCGAAGCGTACGCTTACCCTAAACCCTAAACCCTAAACGCTAAACCCTAAACCCTAAACCCTAAACCCTACACCGTGAACCCTGAAGCTTCATGAAGGCCCAGGCGGCAAAGCGCACGCGAGAAGCGCTAGGTTCCAGGGCAGCCAGGCCGGTATGGCCTGGACATGTGCAATTGCTGGTGGTTTAGGTATTAGGGTTTAGGGTTTAGGGTTTAGGGTTTAGGGTTTAGGGTTTAGGGCTTAGGGTTTAGGATTTAGGGTTAGGGTTTAGGGTGTTAGGGGCTTAGGGGAACTTGAATACTAAGCTATCATGACAAGAGCACAGAGGAAGTCATGTTGCGCAAACTACAAGGAGCGATCCACCAAAAAAGAAACCCACCAATTAGATCCCTAAACCCTAAACTCTAAAGCCTGAACCCTAACCCCAAGACCCCGAGGGAAGCTTAGTTTTGTTGGACTCTTAAGGGGCTCCGTGCTAGGGTTCAGGGTTCAGGTTTAGGGTTCAGGGTTCAGGGTTCAGGGTTCAGGGTTTAGGGTTTAGGGTTTAGGGTTTAGGGTTTAGGGTTTAGGGTATCAGACTGTGGGCCCTGTCAGGGCATCGGCTGCATGGCCAGATTTATATATTCGAGGATGGCCCTCAAGGCCCGTATAAAATATATTCCTAAGTGTTTGTCCCAAGCCCCTACCTAGTATTTCTTCAGGGGGGAGGGGTGTGCTGCCAGAGCTTTTGAGTTTTGAGTCAGATGATTGCATTAAAACCTATGCGACCAAAAAAAGATGTTGATGCACTAGCTTTTTTGGGGATGCGATGATCACTATTTCAAGCTTCACTAGATGTAGCAAAAAATTGCAGCATCATATCCAACAATTTTCTGTGCAACATAAATATATACAAAAAAAGTGTCCATAATTCCACTGGTGTGGGGTTAAGGGTTTAGGGTTTAGTTTAGGGTTTAGGGCTTAGGGCTTAGGGTTTTGGGTTTAGGGTTTAGGGATTAGGGATTAGGGTTTAGGGTTTTGGGTTGAGGGTTCATTTCAATGAGCCACCTGATCGCAGGGTCGAACCCCCATTCGTCCATTGTCGTCCTTGGAGCTTTGGGGAAGGGTGGGGGAGACCCACAACTGTCAACTCATACCGGGATCAGGGGGTTTTGGGTTTTGGGTTTTGGGTTTAGGGTTTAGGGTTTAGGGTTTAGGGTTTAAGGTTTAGGGTTTTAGGGTGTACCCAAAACTGTCCACTCATGCTGGCATTGACCTGTGGGAGGCCTCAGCGCACTCAGGCCTCGAAGTTTTGGGCTTGCGGCTCAGGGTTTAGGGTTTAGGGTTTAAGGTTCAGGGCTCAGGGTTGGGGGGGGGTTTAGGGTTCAGGGTTTCGTTTCGGGTTTAGGGTTTAGGGGGGTTGGGTCGATTTCTACAACTCGCCGCACATCCTGGCATCCCTGAGGAGAACTTGACCGCATGTTCTGAGGAGGAGTTGTCAGGCTATTGATGGCCACGAGTCAAAAGACTACTGAACTGAGAGCCCATAGATAAATGCTAGAAGCCTAAACCCAAAATAAGCCCTAAACCCTAAACCCTAAACCCTAAACCCTAAACCCTAAACCCTAAACCCTAAACCCTAAACCCTAAACCCTAAACCCTAAACCTCAGGCACAGAAGGAAAGCGTCTCTGATGACCGCCAGGTGCACGGCCAAGGTCAGCACCAGGGGTGCCAAGAAGATGGCAGTGTCTACCATCCTCTGACGATGAAAGGGTTTAGGGTTTAGGGTTTAGGGTTTAGGGTTTAGGGATTAGGGTTTAGGGTTTAGGGTTTAGGGTTTAGGGTTTAGGGTTTAGGGTTTAGGGATTAGGGTTTAGGGTTTAGGGTTGAGGGTTGAGGGTTGAGCGTTTTGGATCTCTCAAGAACCCTTAAACCTAAACCCTAAACGTGACATGCTTGTGGAACTAGGTCGTAAAGAAGGAGTGAACAGAGAAACGATGGAATCGAACGCTGAGTTGGCAGCTTTGGGTAGCCAAAGGCTTGCAGAAGAACCACCCTAAACCCTAAACCCTAAACCCTCAACCCTCAACCCTCAACCCTAAACCCTAAACCTAAACCCGAAACCCTAAACCCTAAAGGGTGCGTACTCGGTCACTCGGGCCTCCTCTGAGACTTGACGACAAAGAGGTCCAACTTGTAGAGGATGCACCCGGCGAATGCGGCCGTGGCTGATGACAGCCATCCTCCCCAGGGTATGGACGGATAGGGGAGTTTAGGGTTTAGGGTTTAGGGTTTCGGGTGTAGGTTTAGGGTTTAGGGTTTAGGGTTTAGGGTTTAGGGTTCAGGGTTTAGGGTTCAGGGTTTAGGGTTTTCGAAAAAAACACTACAACCAGGTCTCGTGGCTCTGACTGTCCTGTGGCTGAGTTCTGTGTGGGTGCTGGCCACCCTTCCGTCTTCGTCATGAACAGGCCAATGGCCTGCGGTTTAGGGTTTAGGGTTTCGGGTAAGGGTTTAGGGTTTAGGGTTTAGGGTTTAGGGTTTAGGGTTGAGGGTTTAGGGTTTCGGGTAAGGGTTTAGGGTTCAGGGCTTAGGGTTGAGGGTTTGGGGTTTCGGGGAAGGGTGTAGGGATTGGCGTTCTCTTTTCCAAGCTGTTGGGCTGAGCTGATTTTTTGCGACTCTGGCTCGAGACCAAGCTTTTTATGTCATGTGAAGTCTGCCAAAACATACATATATATACACATACATACCCTAAACCCTAAACCCTAAACCCTAAACCCTAAACCCTAAACCCTAAGCCCTAAACCCTAAACCCTAAACCCTAAACCCCAAACCCCAAACCCTAAACCCAACGAAACTTGCCAAGTGCGGAGTGGGAACATAGTAGGCGCCCACCAGCATCATCTGCTGTGCGGAGACAGTGAGGCTAATCCTGGCATAGGCATCGAAGCAGGCATACCCGCGCTGCACCTGCACAGGGGTTTAGGGTTTAGGGTTTAGGGTTTAGGGTTTAGGGTTTAGGGTTTAGGGTTTAGGGTTTAGGGTTTAGGGTTTAGGGTTTAGGGTTTAGGGTTTAGGGTTTAGGGTTTAGGGCTTTCAAGGCTTCCCCCCCCCCCCCCCTGGCATCTCATATTGCCCCACTTGCTCGTAAAGAGCTCAACCTACATTCCCAGGTTGGCTCCGAAACTGAACCCTAAACCCTAAACCCTAACCCTAAACCCTGAACAGTAAACCCTAAACCCTAAACCCTAAACCCTAAACCCTGAACCCGGAACCCTGAACCCTGAACCCTGAACCCTGAACCCTGAACCCTGAACCCTGAACCGGACTGAGAGCTTCCCCCCGAAGGCCTTCCGGAGCATCCAGAAGTGTGAGTAGTGCGCCGCACTCTTCCCCGGCGGCCCGTCCGCGGTGGCCAGGCGTTGGCTGATGTCATCGGTTGCCTTCGGCGCTCTCCAAGTTCGTTCAAAGGGGCGGGGGGGTCCATAAATACTAAACCCTAAACCTCAAACCCTAAATCCTAAACCTTAAACCTAAACCAAGGGTTCATTTTGGGTCTTAGGTGTGCTCCAAAAATATCAGAGAGGTAATTACTCTGTGGGGGCCCCGCGTTTTTGGGGTTTGGGTTTAGGGTGTAGGGTTTAGGCTTTATGGTTTAAGGTTTAGGGTTTAGGGCACAGGGTTTAGGGTTTAGGGTTGCAGTTCTTGTTTTGTCTGCATCATTGCTTGAAAAACTAGGTTTGGAGGACGCCAAGAAACGATTCGATTGCTTTTGGGTGGTGTCGCTTAGTGTTTAGGATTTTGCTTACGCATGGGCTGCGACCCACCAAATAGGGGTCTCCTTTCTTCTATGCCCCAAATAGACAAAAAGCCCACAAAGGGCCCCTGAAAAAGGGCACCCCTATTTTCGGAAACCCCCATTTCATGTTACGTAGACCTAAACCCTACACCCTAAACCCTAAACACTAAACCCCAAACCCATAGCCCTAAACCCTAGATCCTAAACCCTAAACCCCCTAAACCCGGCAAATCGTGCCGCGGCCACATGGACACCATCCTCAAGGTAGCCACCAGAGGTACCATCCTAGAACGCGGCAGGAATCGAGGTTGGCGAAACCCTAAACCCTAAACCCTAAACCCTAAACCCTAAACCCTAGATGCTGAACCCTAAACC